ACACACATATGGGGAAGAGGTTGATAAGTGTGGTTTGTGTACTGTTGAATGCGGAGTTGATGTTCTGAAATGTAAACTTCCCCACTGTATGAGTCTGGGCTGACTAGAGAAACAAATCCTTGGAAACTCATAAGTGTCTAAGAGAGAGTTTTATATCAAGGGTAATTGTACATTAAGAAAGCATCCCAACCCAGTCCAGTCCAAGCCTATAAATGCGATATTAGCCCATTTGTCCAATACCAATCTATAAAGTCCTCTTCAGACTCGTGAAATACATGTGATTGCATGGAATGCAGGACAATCACAGGCCAGTGGGTACAAAGTCTTTGGATCCAGTGGCATTGTAAGCATCTCAGTGCTGGCAGGGATCTCTACGTGACTTCTCTGGCTCCAGAGGTCTGGTTACATCAAGGTCCATGTGGCTTCTCCAGCTCAGGGCACTAGCGTAGTGCCATGTGTCTTGTCAGTAAGGCGAGTAAGAGAGAGAGTAAGGGTTAAGGGTGTCTCCCAGGGAGTAAGGAGAGAGAGAGAGAGAAGGGTGTCTCCCCCCTCCAAGGAGGAGAAATACCAGAGTTCCCAGAATCCTCAGGAGAAAGCCATGCCCACACAGAGGCCTCACTGGCTATGACCCGATTGACAGACTAGACTCCACCCCTTCACTCTTAATCCTCTCAAGTCCCAAATTGACAGCAGATTATGTAACTACCACACCCACTGAATGAGCGACTTTAAAAAAATGAAATCTATATCCTTTACTTAGTCCTATCAAAAAACGCCAGACTCACTGCCATCGAGTTGATTGATCTCCATTCACAGCCAAACCCTACAGGACAGGTCAGAGCTGGCCCCGTGAGTTTCCAAGCCTGTAGCGCCTTAGGGGAGATTTATGGGACTCCCATCTTTCTCTGGAGGAGGGACCGGTGGTTCCAAACTGCTGACCTTGCGTAAGCAGTCCAACTCGTAACCACTGCGCCACCAGGGCTCCTCCCCAAGCTCTCTCTGCCTCGATAGATCCCCTTGGTCTCCACGAGCCCCCCTCTTGGTTCTTCTTGAACTTTAGAAAAGGTGATTACTGAAATCATTCGAGGTTTACAGAAAGTGGTCAATGCTCGGAGGCCATAGTGAATTAGGGGCTGTCGGGATGGGTGAGAGGCAGAACAAAGGAGGAGTTCTAGAACTGAGTTCCCACATCCTGGTGGCTCTGCCCGGGAAACACTGGACTGCTAACAGCAAGGTTGGCAGTTCAAACCCACCGGCCACCCCAAGGGACGAAGATGAGGTTGTCTGCTCCTGGACCGGTTTAGTGAGTCGCAATCACCTCCATGGCCGTGGGCGTGGGGTTTCCAACCAGAGTCTCTGGGTGCCGCCACGAGTAATGGGCGCAGCTACAAGCTACAAGCTTGGCACCTCAGACGGCCTGGCCACCTGCTTCCGAAAGGTCAGGGCCACAAAAAGCCTCCGAAACAGATTGGCTTGGCAGACTGACTCTCGCTGGAGAAAGTGGGGGTGCCTCCTGGCGACCCCACATACCAGGACCCTCGTTTAGACCCCACCCTCTTCTGAGTTCCTGACCTGTCCCAGGGGGTTTCAGACAGTGTCTAGAACAATTCCAGTATCTGTCTTTTAATTCCCCATTTCCCCGAACTTGTAGAGTTGTTCTCGGATAGCCACTCAACATCACAGGAGCCTGGGCTGCTGAAAAGTTGGGGGTTTGAATGGGTCGGGTCACTGGGCCGGACATGACCAAGCCAAACCCCATCTGTCACCGCTGAGTTGATCTCTACCCTTTCTCCAGGTGGGTTTGAACTGCTGACCTCTCAGTTTGCAGCCACTTAACCATTCTTCCACCATGGAGGCTTCTTCTGTAGCGATTACAGCCTAGTTCACCTCATGGGGCTGTTCTGCTCTGTCTGGAGATGGAAGTCAACATCAGTTCAATGACCCAACCCCAACACTCAATACCACTTCGCTGTCCCATCTTACTCACCACCATCGAGTCAATCTGACCCGTGGCGACCGTGTGGGTTTCTAAGGCCATACATCTTCACAGGAGTGGAGAGCCTCATCTTGCTCCCGTAGAGGGGCTAGTGGTTTCAAACTGCTGACCTTGTGCTTAGCGGCCCAACGTGTAACCCACGACACCCCCAGGGTTCCCTAGTACCTCGAACTCGTTGTTAAGTGCCATCAAGGTAGTTCTGACCCAGAGCGACCCCGTGCACAACAGAAGGAAACACTGCCCGGTCCTGCGCCGTCCTCACAAGTGTTCCTGTGTCTGAGCCCATGGTGGCAGCCACTGTGTCCGTCCGTCTCGTCCAGGGCCTTCCTCTTGTCACTGCTCCTCTGCTGTACCAAACATGATGTCCTTCTCCAGGGACTGGTCTCTCCTGACAACATGTCCGAAGTGTGTAAGATTAAAGTCTCTCCATCTTTGCCTCTAAGCAGCACTCTGATCAAGAGATGGGTTTGGCCTGTAAGCAGTTCACTGACTGTAAATAGTCTTCTCCAGCACCACAATTCAAAGGCATGGATGCTTCTTCAGTCTTCCTTGTTCAATGTCCAGCGTTCACATGCAGAGGAGGTGATTGAAAATACCCTGGTTTGGATCAGGCGCCCCTTAATACAGCATCTCCTCAAACCTCGGCCTTCTCGCATCTCTTCTTCCTCGAAGGCGACACCACTCTCCTTGGTGCTCAAGCCAGAAAGCCAAGAGCCACCCTGTGTCCTGGCACCCTTTGTCCCTCCCATCCAACCACCAAGCTCCACGCCAGCCCTGTCCTTGGTGTCTCTGAGATGCACCCCCAGGTTCTCACCCAGTCCGGCACCCGCATGGGTCTCCACAAGTCCGCTCTCTTGCTGCCCCTCACCCCAATGCCATCGTCCATCCAGCGACCAAAGGACATTTCAAAAAAATTAAATTCTGAAGAAGTCAAGACTCCCGGGAAGATGGCGTCCATGGAGAATCGCCTGCTCTGTTGTTAGATCGGAAAATCCAGAGAACATGTAAATAAATCTGTAGAGATAGTAATTGTATTCAGGGTTCCTGGGGGACTGGGGGGTGGGGTGAGGAATAGCCAGGGAGGTGGGAGGGAAAGAAGGAGTCCAAGAGCGAAGAAAATGTTGTAAAACGGATTGCGATGATGATTACACACTCTTCCTGACGTGACTGCCCTATTGAATTGTGTGCTGTGCAAATTACATGCCAATAAAATGATTGGGGGCGGGGGGTGAGTAAAGACTAAAATAAAAACTAGAATTCTGCTTAAGCCCTGAAGGGGCTTCCAGATGCCCTTAGTCTCCAGACCCAAACTCTGATCTAGGCTCACAAGGTCCTGCCGGGGCTGCCCTGGTCTCCCTCCCCCGCACTCTCTCCCTGCAGCCAGGGTGACCCTCTGGGTTCTACCTGGTGGCATGAGGAGGCTGGGGAGTTGGGCACCGTATTATCTGGGCCTTCTTGAGCCGTGCTTCAGGCGGCAGGCATTCACTGGAGGACCCAGCTCTAGTGAAGGAGGATGACCAACCTTGGAGTTTCTTACCTGGGCTCAGGTGCCAGCCTTCCTACCTGTGTGGCTTTGGGCAAGCCTGGGCCTCACCTTTCTTCTCTGTAATTGGACACACACACACACACACACACACACACACACACACACACTGCTGGTGGCAGGACTCATGAAAGGAGGCTCTAGGCTAGAATGGGAGACTGGGGTGTGTGGCCTTGCTGGGGTGGGTGTGGCAGTGAGTCTAGTCCTGAAGGGAGGAGACCACCTAGGCAGGTGGAGGCAGCACTGGGTCAAGGCCAGCGGAGCCCGCCCTCACCAAAACCTTGTCTGGTTGACCCTCAGCTCCCTGCAGTCTTCTCTCCCTCCCAAAGCACCGGGCCCCTGGGCTTCATGCACAAAACCCCCACACACAAATCCACTAGGAGTGGAGTCATTCCAACCCTTAGTTATGCTACAGGGCAGAATGGAAGGGCCCCTAAGGGTTTCCAAGGCTGTCAGTCTTGACAGAAACCGACAGCCCCATCCTTCTCCCGCAGAGCAGCGGTGAGTTCCAGTCACCAATCCTTCACCCAGCGCTGAACCCACAGTGCCACTTGGGCTTCATGCACATTTCTCTTAACTCGTGGGCCATCCTGCCACACTTGAGCACAGCGGGGTCCATCCACGTGAAGTGGTGGGTGATTGCCACCACAGCAAGCTTCCACCAAGTACATAGGACCCACGGACCCTTCGACAAGCGGAGAAGTTGAAGCTCAAAGTCAGGAAGGGAGTCAGTGGTAGAGAGAAAACAAGGCCCAAGTCTCCTGCCTTCCAGGCTGGGTCACCCAGGGCCATAGGAGGCTGGGCACCCACCTTCCCCAGACCTCTCCTTGGCAAGGAACCTGCACCCAACCCATTCCCCTCACCCAGGGACCCTTCTCTTCCACAGAGCACTGATCACCACTAACCAGCCAGATAACGGGCCCCTAAACTAAGAGAAAACAGCCCAAAATCACCTCCACCAGGGCAGGCAGGATTTTGTGTGTCGTCCAGGTCTACCCCAAGGGTCTTGTGTCAGATCATAGCGTCCACCCCTGGTCTTGGTAGCTCACGGGGCCCAGATGCCCCTGGGAAAGAGCGTGGTGTGCCCCTGAACAACGCCTGCTGCCTCTGGACACTGCTGTCAGCATTCCTGGCCCAACACCCCTGGGAGGGAACCGGAGAGGCCATGATCTGTCCTCAGAGACCGCCCCCCACCCACCCAATGACCTCCAAATGTAAAACCTCTCCCTTCCCAATGACACCCGCCTCACCCTGACTCCCTCACCAGCCTCCCAAGCTGGTAGCCTGCACCCTGCCTCCAAGTGACCTGCTTCCAGCCCCCTCTGCCCTCCCTCCCCTGCTAACTGTCCACGGCTCCCGGGTCCAGTACCACACCTCCAGCCCTGAGCCTGACCGGTCCTTCATATCTGACCACCCTCCTCCCACATGTCCAATGCACTGTGACTCCTGTGTTGCGGCCCACTCCCCACACGCTGGCCTGGGGTTTGAACACACTGCCCTGGCCTCCGGGACCCAGCACAGGGCCTGCCGCCTGCCTGGGCCCCTCAGCCTCCATGGAGTGGGGCCAGATCTGAGTTCATCCCAGGATACTCCTCCCGCTCAGTGCCTAGCATGGGGATCGAACCCTCGGCGCAAAGAAGGCTGCAGGAGGCCTGAAGACTGGGTCTGTTTGTCCAGCGCCCAGCCTTCTCCAAGCCCCAGCGGGGCAGCCAGCGCAGGGGCAGCTCCACGCCCAGGCGACCTGCCACATCACACCAGCCAGGCCACACACAGCCCGACGGGCGGAGTAAAAGGCCCGCCTGGCAGGGAAGTCTGAGAAGTGGGGTGGAGGTGCTGAAGGGAAGCAAAGCCCGAGAACTGGGGAGACCCTGAGTGTACCCCACATTCCAGACAGGGTGTTGAAAACAGCAGGGGCCAAGCAGCGCTGCCTGTCTCTGAGCCAAGGGGCTGATTTGCAGTGGAGGCCCCAAACCCACACTCACCGCCTTCAAGCGGATTCTGACTTGCAGCCACCCTCTAGGGCAGAGACTGCCCCTCGGGGTGACCCAGGCTGTCATGTTCACAGGGACCCACAGCCACTTCTCCCCGGGAGCAGCTGGGGGGCTCCAGCTGTCCACCTTTGGGATAGCATCGGTGCACCCTGCCCGGAGTTGGGGCCCACAACCGCGAGGATTTGAAAGCAGAGCAGGGCGAAATCCGTTGGCAAGACCCCCCAAGCCGAAGGCACCACCCTGAGAGAGCGTCTGGACTCCCCTACCGCCCAGCCTTTCACAGTGGCCCTCGCTGCGCTCCGTCGGGGCCGCGGCTGGCCAGCCAGGGCCTGGGGACCCTCCGCCCGCCCCCCGGCGGCCCTCCGCCCGGTTGGACCCCCTCACCCGCGCAGCTCTGCGACCTCCAGATCTTCCCCAGGAGCAAGATCATGGCCAGGAGGTGGCTCAGGTCGCCGAGGATTCGGAATATGTTCATGGTCCAGCCGGGGGCTCGGCGACAGCGCGCAGCAAACTTCCAGCAAAGTTCCGACCGGGCCGGC